TAAGATAGGACGTCTGAGGTGGTTAGGCCATGTAATGCGGATGGAGCAATCCGAACCAGCTAGAAAAACGCTCCTTGATAGACCTATTGGTCAAAGAAGAAGAGGAAGACCCAGAAAAAGATTCCTAGATAACATAGACCAAGATATGAGAAATATAGAAATACGTGCTTGGCGGAGGAAGGCGATGGATAGGGACGACTGGAAGAGAATTCTTGGGGAGAGTAGGACCCACACAGGGTTGTAAAACCAAAATGATGATAAACCAGGTAATTCGACATATCCCGATAAAAAGAGAATAGCAAAACAACATTTCATTTCATCCAGCGTGATGGTAGGATTTGGGTCATTCAATAACATTGCATATTTATTTGATTCATCAACAATGAACTGAATTATATCATCTAAAAATTTTTCAAAAACTGCAACAAGTAATAAGCTTTTGAATCGTGCATCATTTTGTTTTGGAAATTGTCTTGCACGAGGAACTAAATCTCCATTTATCCAAGTTACTTTGGTTCTGCCTTGTCGTTCTGGTATTTCGTACATTTGATTCTCTTCAAACTGCTTTTGTTCTGTATGAAATCGTACTTCAACAGGGGCTGTTAGCTGTTGTCTGTTAAGATTGTTAACAATACCTACAATATCTTCTTCACCTGAGTCTTCATCCGTGAGAATATTTGATTCTGGAGGCTCTATAAAAATATCTTGAATGTTACTCTCATCATCATAAACCATGTTCAAGGCCTCTTCTAGCGTAAAACCTCGCCTGAAACAAATAACAGTAAATTAACGTTTGCACCCATAACGTTGCAGAGCGTTACCATATGGTAACGCTAACCATTCATGGCTTAAATTGGATTGGAAACTAATTCTTTTTAAGAACAATCTTATTTTGGTCTAAGTATGATCTTTCTTATTTTACTTCTACTTTAAACTTTTGTCCATTTCTGTCCATTGCATACATTTTGTTTGGATTTCAATTATGTACAGCCCCATTTTGCTTTGACTAGCCTCTGTACTATCTCCTATAGTTTTTTTCGCGAATCACGTTGTCTGCGAAGGCCAAAACTTGGTGTCTTCTTTGATATAGTTGTCTATTGATTTTAGCTTTTCGCATTAATTTTTCTATAAATTCGTTCGAAGTTTGATTCTTTGTTTTGACTATGTTTTCTGTATTCTCTAAAATAAAATGCATCATGTTGCGTAACTTTCTGCTAATTCCCAATTTTGCAAGCGTATCTCTCTTATATAGCATATCCATTGCCTAGCTGATCTGTTGTAACATTAGTTATTGTTGTGCAATTTTGAGATACCACTTTTATTGGTTGCAAGAGAAGAAATATGTCAAAATTTGTTTTAACAATAATTTTATGCATTTTACTTGGAAAATTTAATCCAACGTTAAATATATTCAATTCAGTCAAAAAGTATTACATCTAATAAACAACATTTAAATTTACACTATAAAGGTATAGTCCACGAGCAATTATACAAGGAAAAAGTTGATTACTAGCAAGCTGCATTTTCTTGAGCGGTTTAAGATTTCCGAGTACGACAAATTTTTCTTTGAGGACAACTCTCAGGGTAACTTTCCGGAAAAATGGGAAACGGTAATTTTTATAAATACTGTAGAAGTAAAATTTGTATTAATGTTATTCATTAGATTATGGATAGGGGATTGCTTCCATAGATATTTAAACCTATTCCGCTGATGTGCCCATACTCACTCACTAGACCCTTTTCCCCGCTCACTAGAAGCTAGGTATTGTTTGATATCCGCGGTCGAGCTGTCCGTAGCATGATCATACGCACCAGAATTGACGATTACGACTGAGCATTAAGTGCATCTGCATCACGAGAATTACGGTGCAGTAACCCCGAAGGTCAGCAATCCCAATCAACAGTTTTGTCAGCATTTAATTTTTATATAAAAGAAATACTATTGTAATTAAATTCAGTTATTTTCGATCAATAAAGCAGTGCAGTATAGCTGTAATAGTTATTAAAGGGTCTTTTTAAAAAGTACCTTCCCGAGTTAAAACCTGTGGCACAGTGTAATACGATAGTGGGAGTGTCTACAGAAGATCCTCGTCGTTCTTAAACGTTTACCCGCTACGAACCAACCAACTTCCAGGGAAAACTACGGCTGCTCAACCCAGAAGTCTACGAAAAGCCAGTGTTGAAGTGTAGAAATTAATTTATATGACGAAAGACGATAAAAAGAAAGCGAAAGAAGAAAAGAAACAGTTCTTCGAAAAGAAATCACACAATCATCATCATTTATCTGTAAGCAAATTTAATCTTTTTTCCAATCAAAATTTAATTGCTTCACAAGCTTCATCTCTTAGAATTAGTAATTCTCTTTCAACTGTTAGTGAATCGATTATCGAACCTGGTGCTGCTTCTGTTTCGTAAAGTATCTCAGCTTCTCAATTTAGTTTCAAAACCAACGTTGGTTCTTTACCATACGATCATTGAGGCCTACAAATCTTGCTTTCGCTCTTCAATTCATCCAGGAAGAAAACAATCTTAGATATTTACAGAAAACAACCAATTTTTCATTACCAAATAAGATTTCTACCCACATAGAACCCCAAAAGACAGCCGCAGTTCACCACACCACCACAATATCAACAACCCATGCCAGGCCAGAGGTGCATCAACCATATTTTGGAAGTAATCCAGGACCGTCCCGACCACAACAGCCAACATTTACCCTAAGATGGCCAATACAACCCGCTCGACTCCAACCACCAAGGTTATATATTCATGGCAAACACACAACCTCCAAGACCGAACCCATGGGCAAGCAAACCATTACAACAGTACAAACCAACACCGATGTCTGTAAGTACACGCCAAACGAGACATAACAGAGGTTCAAGCTTCAGAAACTTTAGACCACAGCAACCACACACGCCAAAGTTCACCGTAGAAGAGCTGTTCAATATTGAACACCAAGACGAAAACGGTACCGATACCTACTATGGAGAACAGGCATACTACTATCCAAATTAGGCCGCATATTTAGATGACTACCACGTAGAAGATTACCAAAATGCCTAATACGAAGAAGAAGATGTAAATTTGCCAAAACTCCAAGAGGAAAACGAAGAAACGTAATCGAACTCAAATCTTATTCAGACAAAAAAGAACTTCCATATATCTAAATTAAAAATCCTCCTCTTAAACTTCTTCTTGATACAGGGGCAACCAAATCATTATTAACCCCGAAATTGCATCCAAATTTTATAAAAATTTTATCAATCACGAACCGTTTATAGTCAGTTCAATATTTTAAAACCATTCACAGAAATATTGTGCTGAAATTACAACCTTCCCAGAATTTAACTCTAATATTAATTTAAAATTCTACCTTTTTAAATTCCATAAAACATTTGATGGTCTTATGTCGATACTTAAATTTCACACAGCATCCACACTAACTACAGCACACTCAGTTCTCCCTATCTTTTATTATAAAACCAACAAAACACAATTTTATACAATTCTATTGGAACCCAGAACAATCACACAAGTACGACTTCTAGTAAAACAAACAAAAGCACCATACTTATACACAAAACAAGAAATACAAGGGGCCATTCTAAGAGAAACTCTCAGTGAAGCCTGCAATCAACTAGTCAGGACCGAAATGATCAAAAACACTGATGAAGCTATTCAAGTAGCATTCACCGATCTCGTTAGAAGCCAATAGATCTTCATGAATATCATTTGTATACTTCAGACACATTCCTATGGAAACAGAAACAATAATAAATAGCGATCCTTTCATTGAACATATCATCTAAATCCAGAAGAAGAGATGCACATCAGACGTTTATGCAGAAAATTTGCAGATATATTCCATAATCCTGATGATACTTTAACATTTACAAATCAAATAAACCACCACATACGAACAACAGATGAAGTTCCAGTTTTCACAAAATCATATTGATATCCACACGTACATCGAGAAGATGTTCAAAAACAGATAACATCAATGTTGGACCAAGGCATCATCAGACCAAGTCAGTCACCCTAGTCATCTCCAATTTGGGTCGTACCAAAAAAAACCAGACGCCTCTGAAAAAATTAAATGGAGAATCGTAGTCGATTACAGAAAGATAAATGAGAAGACTATAGACGATAGGTATCCAATCCCAAATATCACCGTCAAACGTCCTTGACAAACTCGCACGTTGTCAATACTTTTCCACCCTCGATCTAGCCAGTAGATTTCACCAACTAGAAATGGCAGAGGAAGGTATACATAAAACAGCATTTAACGTGGAAAATGGCCATTATGAATACCTTAGAATGCCATTTGGTTTGACCTCTACATTCCAGAGAATAATGGACAATGTGCTTAAAGTACTCATAGGAGAAATCTGCTTAGTATACATGGATGCCATCATCGTATACTCTACCTCACTTCAGGAACACATGGTCAACCTTAAGAAAATCTTTGAAAGACTACGCGAAACGAGTAATCCCGGAGGTCAGCAATTATAATCAACAGTTTTGCCAGCATTTATATTTTTATATAAAAGAAATAATATTGTAATTAAATTCAGTTATTTTCGATCAATAAAGCAGTGCAGTAATAATTGTAAAAGTTATTAAAGGGTCTTTTTAAAAAGTACCTTCGTGAGTTAAAACTTTAAGTCGAGTCTTGAATGGACCGTTGTCCCTAAAAATATTTTTCCTTAATCTGTAGTTCACTTTGTCGGCAGCAGTTTCAGTTCATTTGTGTTTTCTTTTTTAGATGGTGGAAGTACAGTAGGAGGAGAGGATACAAATTTTTGGTCACACAGTCCATCCAGACCTGATACCACATCGCCAAAAATCATTAACAGTACATTAGGAGGCACATACCCACTATACGCAACAGTAGGTCACTCAAATATATACAGGCTTGGACCTATTAACCAACGTAAGTAGAATAACATTAACACTACAATTTAATAAGATCTTATTAGCTGAAATAATTCAATATGATCATTTTAGCATATCCAAATCCCCATAATCCTGATACAGAAATACATACGACAGGATCTTTTGTAAGAGTGGTCAAAAGAAGAACAACAGCGAATAAAAAAGAAAGACGAAGAACCCAGTCCATTAATATGGCCTATGCAGATTTGAGAGACTGTATTCCCAATGTACCAGCAGATACCAAATTATCAAAGGTAATCTTTATTTCCTTTTTTTAACTTTAACATAAAATCGAGTGCTTCTCTCTCGCTGATTGGAAAATTTTTTTAACAAATACTTGTCTTAACGTGATTGTTAATTTGTAAATTTTACAAATCGTTTGAAATTGTAAACGTTTTCACTCTAATTTCTAAAAAATCTTCTTTGGATACTCTATCGATACGTTTTCGTCAAAAACTTCAAGATCAAGATCAAGAGTACCTATTATTTATTTTTTTGCTGCATTTATTATCATGTCATGTTCTAAAAACAAGATATTTATGACTGAAGTTGCCGACAATATGCTTGGTCAACAAATATGCATTTTTGCAGATTGTGCAAGTACTTTGCTACTGATCCTATCAAACAACTGAACCGATCTTCCTTCAGAAGGAAAATAGGTTCAGTTGTTTGATAAGTTCAGTTTTGCAGAAAGCAGAAAGTCATAATAGCGTTTTTGGTTACCTTTGCTTGGATGTTTCCCAGTACTTAAGCCATTAGTCATCGAAGTCGCAGATACTAGAGCTGTTTGGGTAGGTCAGTATATGGTCCATATTCTGTATGGCACCACACTCGCATGTATTATCTGTTTTGTGTCTAAGATCCCACTTTATTTGATTGGTTTTCACCCAGACTCAGACAAGGTGACTCGTTAAGCCCACTTCTCTTTAATATAATAATGGACAAAATAATACAAGCAGTACGCAAAGGTCATGGTTAAAAAATGGGGAACAAAGAAATCCAAATATTATGTTATGCAGACGACGTCGCATTAATCGCCGATATAGAAGACGAGCTCCAAAGATTAGCAAACATCTTCAATATTACAGCCGAGAAATACAATATCAGCAGAAAAAAGCAAATGTATGATACTCACTACGATATATAATCGACATTGATAGGAAAATAATAAAGCGGGAAGCAAGGTTTAGATATTGGAATAGATACGGAGATGTAAAAGAAGTACGACAAAAAAGCTTAAAAGCAAGTAAAACGGCAAGATCTGTTAATGACACAATCTGGAAGAACAAACACCTAAGACAAGTCACAAAAGCAAGAATCTATAAAGCAGCAATTAGACCTATATTAACATAAACGGCGGAGACAAGACCTGACACATCTAAAACAAGACGACTACTAGAAACAACAGAGATGATAATACTCCGACGAATATCAGAAAAAAAGGAACGTTTTGGATGACAAAACGGAAACAGGAGTGAAACGAACACATCAGTAGAATGGCACAGGATAGAATAGAACGAATAGCACGAGATAAGTCACCAAATGGACGAAGAAGTATTGGCAGACCAAGAAAAAGATGGTACGATAATTTAAACAATTTAGAAGGCTAATATTGAAGAAGAGACAGGATTTAAAGCCTACATACAAGAAGGAAGAAGAAAAAGAAGGACATTTGTCATAATTTCTGGATAGTTCTGGAAAAAATTTAACATGACACTGAGTCAGACTAAAATCTGATCTGCCTTTTTTGTTTCTTCCTCTCATATACCATCTCCCTCATCACTACCATAGTGTTACATATCACTGGTCAATTTTCTCAACGTTTCTTTATTTGACGATTTTTTCATACTACCTTTTATTATATTTCTTGACGTTCAAAGCATTTTACTTTTCTTGTTGTGGTGTTTAGGTTGATTTCTTCTCTGCAGATATATCTTAGTGTACATTGTTTCGGATTTTTTTAATTTGGTCGATATTCCTTAATATATTTTTTCTTTTTTGGTATAGCCCTGCAGCTGTTTTCTTGTGGCTTTCTTTATTAACTAATATATTTTATGAGAATTAACCACACTTTTATTTAAAAGTATTTTATATTGGAGTTTTGATTTGTGCCCCGAAAATCGTTAAATAAATAAGGTAAATACGCCAAATATTGCTACTCCCCATAAATTTATTAATTTGTCCCTTGACTACTCCAAAAACGTTATAGAGGGAACCAGTTAGTATTGGTGTTCACGGCAAATCAGCGTGTATTTCGTGCGATTTGTTTATAAAAACGTGGAGAAAATTGTAATGATTGTTATAAGCTAGCTAATACCAACTATAGAAGGATGAGAACGTTATCAGGTAAGTACATTCAAGTACTTTATTAATCCATATTGTGTGTAATTAACATAAAAGAGAATAAAACATAAATCGCCATTTTTGTTCCGCAGTAGTAATGATCCTAATATTACCACATGAGATAGTTCCTAATGGACAATGGCAATATTTGGAACCTAACATGAAAATTTACTTTTTATTAATAAAAACTTTCTTTTCAACAGAATGCCGAATAGAAAGAGAGCCCTGTGGTCTGAGGCGAATCTCGTTGCAGCGTTAGAAGCAAGTTAGAGCTGGAAGCAGTATAAGCCAAGCTTCATTACGATATGAAATACCTCGAACAACACTTGAACTACATTATCACAGCCAAAATTCGCTTAAATGACTTGGAAGGAAAAGTGTTTAAGTTTTAAACAAGAAAGAGATCTAGTTCGCAGAATTCATAAACTAGCAGATGCCAATAACTAGTAAAATAGTATGTAGTAATGATAATGAACATTCCTAATCCTTTTTCTGATACATCTAAATTAGCAGGAAGGAAATGGCTGAAATTATTCTTTGCAATACATCCCGATGTAGCTAGAAGGAAGGCTCAGCAAATGAATCCAGCAAAAGCACAGAAAATGAATCCATTTATTGTAAATGATTATTTTAAGAAAATTTGAGGAACTATTCATTAAATTTGAATTGTTTGATAAACCTGAAAACGTGTACAATATGGACGACAAAGGTTGCCGTCTAACGATCCATAAACAGCAAACCGTATTGGCCAAGAAAGGCCAAAAGAACCCACTGTTCATTCTTTTCAAAGGAAAGAGATTGAAGCCTGAATGGAATGATCATCTACCACCAGGATCAACTGTAACGATGACACAGAAAGGGAGCATGACAAATGAGGCGTTTATTTTATGGCTAGGACATTTTGCAAAGTATAAGAATACAGGACCCACACTCCTGATATTCGATGGTGCAAAATCGCATCTGGACATAAGTATTGTTGAAGCTGCAGAACATTATGGTGTTACTTTATTTTGTCTTCCAAGTAACACCACGCATGAACTGCAGCCTATGGATAAAGCAGTCTTCAAAAGTTATGAGTCTTTTTGGGATCAGGAGGTTTTAAATTTTTTGATAACTCAACCTGGGAAAAATTTAACCAAAATGCGATTTGGTGAAATATTTAGTAAAGTTTGGTTAAAAGCGATGACACCAGCTAACATCATGTCTGGGTTCAAAGCAACTGGAATATTTCCTTTTAACCCAGACATCATACCTAAATCAGCATTTGACCCAGTCTTATCACACATATTGAAGAAAATGTGTTAGAACACTAGACGTCGACAATAACAATGTAAATAAGCCATCAACTATTACAGTTGATGAAAACGGTCCCTGCACAAGTGGAATAAGTAATAGAAAGATATCAACAAAACGTCTTCGTTTATATAGCGAGTCGTCTCATTCTGAATCAGATTTCAGTGTTCATGATAGTACATCTGATGATATAAACAGCGAAGATGAAAATATGGTACCATTCACTCCCGAAAAAGTTCCAGAACCAGACACTTCTTTTAAAGGTATGGGCTTACTAATTTCGCCCCTAATCAAGATAACTGCTACAAAGCGAAAACCAGCAATTAATAGCAAAGCTCAAGAAGTTACGAAGGATTTATTTTCCACAGCGATAGAAAAACCACCCAAAGGTAAAAGTAACAAAGAACCTTCCAAACAACAAGAAAAATCAAAAGACAAAAACAAAGAACAGGAAGAAAAGAAAATAAACAAACATCAAAAAGAACAAGACAATCTGAACAAAGAAAATAAAGAAAAGAAAATAAACAAGAATTTAAAAAGTAGTGAATCATGGTTCTGTCATGTATGTAATGAAGACCGCCAGGCTGATATGAGATTATGTCTTGCATGTGGCCAATACGTACATGAAGAGTGTGTGGGTCTTACTAAACATGATAAGGATAAATTCATATGCCCCAATTGTTCTCAAAAATAGTAAATGTCTCACATTAGTTTTTTAAATGTTAAGGTTCAATATTATTACTTATTTTTATTAACAAAATACCTGTTCCTTTTATTGCCAGTACTGTGGCAATATTAAGGGTATAGGTTCCAAATATTGCCAGTTGGCAATTGTTTAAAAAAAAAGAAGAATATACATTTTTTTGATTGTTTTATTTTTATAATTGTTTAGAAATTAGACTATAAACATGTTTGTTACTTGTTTAATAAATTTACAGGTTATTTCAAATAAATTTGTATTTAATAAAAAATAATAAGTCTTAGCATGGCAATATTTAGCTCACTTACCTTAATTACACAGGTCTGCGACATAAAAATTGTTTAAAATTGAATAAGTGATTATTTATAAGTATTTTCAACGCTAATTTTGGGAAAAATAGTGAAAACATTCCATCACGTACAGTTATTCCACAAACTGCTTGTCTATTTTTAGCTTTTTTTCGATATTTTTATACATAGTTCGGTACTCTAGTGAGTTTGAATTTTTGTTTTTTGGATCTTTATGAACTGTTTATTAAGCCCATAGTACTTTTGTTTTTGAATCTTTATGAACTGTTTATTAAGCCCATAGTACTTTTAATAAATATAAAAAATACTTTAAGGTATTTTCAGTTACTTAGCTGTTTTTTTACTATACAAGTTGTATGTAAAATAAAGAGTTGATTAGGAGAAACCAGCATTATTTTCATGTCGGTACTTGTCCATTGCCTCCCCTCCCTCGCCATCCACTTACTGACTCACTGAGCATCTTTTATGTCAGTTCCTGTTGTTCCGAGAATCTGCCTATATATTAACAGAGGCTATTTTTCGAAAGCCATGTTCTTAGAATTTAAAACGTAAACAACCGACGTCACAGATCACGGGAATTATTATACATCGGAAACAGGTTAGATCGAAAAAACCGCCAGTACCTTGTCCTTTTTTGGGGCGTACACACGTTGTCATTTCCGCTAATATTCTATTTGAGAGTCGAGAAGTGTCTTTCACCGTTGGGAGTTGTACTAATGTTGCTATAATAGTTATCTCGAAATAAGAATCATGGTTTTTTATCGATGAAATATGTTCGCAATTAGTTGGAGAATAGTAATAGTTCATCTATGGTAACTCGTACCAGTACCATACATTATAATTTAAGTATTGTAATAGTGTAAAAATTAGCCAAGAGTGCCGTATTTATACAAGAATAAATTCTAGTGTTTATAACTTCTAGTGTTTATAAAAAACCTTACAGGTGGGGGTTAAAAATGTTGAGAGGAAAAGCCTCGTGGATCCCAAAAAGGTATTACTACCACCACTCCACATTAAGTTGGGGTTAATGAAACAATTTGTAAAGGCGTTGCCAAAAGAAGGGGAGTGTTTCAAGTATCTTTGTGGACAGTTTCCTGGTTTATCCGAGGCAAAACTAAAGGAAGGAGTCTTTGTCGGACCAGACATTAGAAAACTGATGAGAGATCCCAATTTTATGGACAAAATGGAAACAAACGAAAAAGCAGCATGGACATCTTTTAAACTAGTTGTTACCGGTTTCCTAGGAAACAAAAAAGATCCTAACTACAAGACAATCGTCGCAGACATGCTCGACAACTTTAAGAAGCTGGGATGTAACATGAGCATTAAAGTTCATTTCCTCCATTCACATCTAGACTACTTCCCTGCAAACCTTGGTGATGTAAGTGAAGAGCAGGGTGAAAGATTCCACCAAGATATCAAGGAAATGGAAAGAAGGTATCAAGGAAGATGGAACGTCAACATGATAGCGGACTACTGCTGGATGCTAAAACGAGATGACCCTCAACGAGTACACAGCCGGAAAAGCAATAAAAGAAGCTTCGACGGAAAGCAAAAGCGTTACTATAAGGACTTATGAGCTTAAAGAGAAATGTAAGTGTACTAGATATGTAGTTTATAACATGTATTATACATGAAATAAAATCCTTTAACTTAAGAAAAAATTTGAAAAATTGCTAAAATTTTGTTATTATACCAAAAAGTAATTCCTTTTTTGTGAGAAAACCTTACGTGATAGAAAAAAATGGATTGCATTTTTGCAATCAGCGCTGAAAAATACATAAAAATCAGTTATGAAATTCCAAACAATTTTAAAAAATATTTTTTTTGTAAACTTGTGTTATTTTTTGGTGTTATGAGTCATACATGATCAGCAAATTCACCCTGTTTAACATTTCCCATAATATTTTTCTGCTAACATTTGAATTGTTTATGATGTGATTAATTACAATAAAATAAAGCTGAAAGCATAAATGTACCAGTACAGTTTTTGGGACTTCGTTAATATCTCTTGTTCCTTTATACGGCCCTAGTGTATTTCAACGTTTCCGGACAGTGTATACGAAGGGAATTTTGTCTGACTTAAGTGTGATTTATGTTTGCGCCGGATCTATTAAAATGTTTACGTCATGTTGTCCTTTTGTTTCAGATAAAAACTTTAAGACTGGCTACATCCTATATCTCCTACCTGACCCATGCTTTGGAGACGGATGACCCAGCTGGCGGGTTTAAAGCGGAAATTGGAACGATTTCAAGAAAATCAAACAATCAAATAAACTTGAGCAACTCCGCTCAAGTTAACGGCTGTACGGTGGAACACATTACTCCTGAAAGCGTTAATTCGGTAAGCCCTTTGTTTTTCACTTACATTTCACGTTGGCGTTAATCTCTCAAAATTGATTTAATTTAGAATGGAACTGTGACTTTACTGAACAGCGGGTTAACTAGACAGTATAGAGATTACATGAATAATGAGGGTGAAATGGCTAAACTTCATACCAGAGTGTTCACTCGTTTAATTATATAAATAGATATGTTTTTTTATTGTTACATTGCATGTTTACAATCTACTCTATACACAGAGTAATAAGTAAATAGTCTGTAAGTAAATTAACGTGAGTTAGGTACCGTCCAGTGACGGTTCTCTAAGTATTATTGCAGTCTTCTGGCCAGCTTCAATCTTCTTACGGCAAGTGGTTGGTTGAATAAATTATTTATCAGTTCGTTGTTGTGATCAGTGGTGCGATTTTTATATTTTATTGAGTGATTCTTTATTATGTCCTTAAGTAATAGGATGTCCAGATCATTGTGAAGTGTTTGGTTAGATACATACCATGGAACTTTACTTATCATACGAAGTATTTTGGATTGGAATGTTTGAAATATCTTCGTCTTTGAAGGTTTACTACTGCCCCATAGTTCTATTCCATATGCCCAAACTGGTATTATTTTTTTATTTATTTATTAACGGGATACCACCCAATTTAATATATACACAAAGTATTACAAGTATTATCTAGTGATACAATAATTATAAAGATATAGTAAATATGTATGAAAAGAATTGGCGATGCAGCTATATAGAAAAAAAAACAAATATTAAAATTATATAAAGCACATAGCAGATATAAATCACATAAAATTACAAAATTTTTTTTTAAACACATTCTACAGACATTTTCCGAAGCGCACAGCAACAAATCAAAGTCTATTCTATTTCCATTTAGAATGATTCTACTCAGTGGAGAATGCCTACCAAAGTTAGAGCGATGAAATTTAATTGCAAAATTTTGAGATGTTCTAGTAACTCTAGAGGGAACATTAAAGTCAATTAGAGACAGTAGATCATTGCAATTAATTTTTGAATTCAGTAGTTTATGAAGAAACAAAACATCAGCATACATCCGTCTGGAAGATAGCCTAGGAAGGTTTAATGTATTTCTAATTTCTGAGTAGGAGTGATCGCTCAAAGGTTTGTGTAATTTAAACTTAAGTACCTAATGAATTATTTTGGACTTTTTCAAGCTTGGCTATATGGACTTCATAAGTGGGTGACCAAACGACTGAGCAATACTCAAGAACAGATCTAACTAGGGAAATGTAAATCAGTCTGATGGAATTAATGTTATGCAAACATCTAGAGGTTCTAATAATGAAGCCTAACATTTTAAATGCCTGGTTATTCACATAATCAATATCTGTATCTGGATGGATAATCATTATCCATCCAGATACTGACAGAGAATGTAGCGTAGAAGTAATTTTAAACTGTTTGTCCTCGTTTTAGTGTAGTGTTTTGTATAATTTATGTTATTTTTAATGTTTCCACATTCTACGCTTGCCGGATAGTTCTTATTTTGACGAAATGCCCCTGAAGATGCTATTTTAAGCGAAAGTACTTGGGCTAGATTTAATTAACTTGTGCTCGATAATAGCCTTATTTTCAAAGTTACAATAAAAATAATTGTGTTTTAGAATAGCTGACTTCATAAAAAAAAGTAAAGGTGAAAAATTTTTCTAAATACACACCATTGTATTGTACCATGGACAATTTTTTCTCACTAAAGGAAGCTATTTTTCATTTAAAAACAACCTACGAGTACTAAATTTCAAGTAAATACGTTTATTGGTTTTAAAGTTATTGTTGTTATTAACTAAAAGAATTTAATTTTTTTTAATTTTAACACCCTGTATCTCGAAAAGTAAATAAGTTTGACCCCTCATTAACTATATCGTTTTGTTCAATTTTTCGAGAAGTATCTACAGTCAAACGTTGTAAGTGTCATTTGGAAACACCCTGTATGTATGAAATATTAGATATTTAATAGAAAATATTAGATACTTACAATTTTGCCACAGACTGAACAGTAGATTTTTCCCATATCCATAGACAGCTCTTTATAAGGTTTAATCCAAGTTGAAGCACTGGTTGTTTTAGGCATTATAAAATCACAATCTTCCTTTTTGTTACGCACAACGAGTGTTTACGCTTTGAATATCAAAACAAAAATGATTTACAAATCTGAGCATCAAATTAGAAATGTTTAGGTACCTAATTCAATAAACTGGGAGATTTTGGAAAATCCCTAAATTAGGAACAAAACTATTAGCCGTTTACCTGCTGTTAAGATACAATAAATTGTAGATAGATTTGGGGATTAGATCATAAAATGCAAATGAGCGAACCCTTAGCGATTATCCAATAACTGAATGCCTCAGTGACCGAGACTTTCTAAGAATGTTGAGGGCTACTTAAATTGATCTTCTTTGAAATTGTAAATGTTTTGTACCTGTAGAGATTACGTACTTAGATCATTTCTTGATTAAAATGACTACAAAATTTTATACAAGAATTGAAATAAATTGGTATGTTTAAAAATTTTCAAATACAGTATAAAAATCTGAACTTTTATGCACTTTATGCAAACTTTTATACAAATATGCCAAAATATGAAATATTTGCATAAAATATGCACAATATGCAAAATATGCAAATATGCATATTTGCCGAAGTCTAATCATCATCTTCATCGTTATTAGTATCTGGTGCTGCGAATACAGTTGCAAGATGCTCTGCGAATATTGTTGTTTTTTCTGCGTTTGTGCGGGCCCAGGTCATATCTGTTTTTCTTAAAGGTGAATTTAATATTGTAGGTCGTTTAATGTAACAATAAAACACTGTAAACTTTGTTTTCAAACTTTCGGCTGATTGCCTTTCTCTAGTGATCTATTTTTGGCATATGTTTACACTTTATAGTCTCTAATGAAATAGGTTGAGGAGGGGAGAACTGTTTGTCTCAAGTTGGTCATTCAGAATTATATCTGTGTTTTTTAATTTGTTGATTTCCATAGATTTTAACAAGGATAGCTTAAGGCCTTTATTTTGAATGTGAAGAATTTTAAATTCGTCGTTAAAAGAATGATTGTGATCTAGAAGGTGAAGTGCGTATGTAGAATCTGTTTTTCTATTATTGAAAGCCCTTTTATGTTCTGCTATTCGTTTGTTAAAGTTTCTACCAGTTTGACCGATGTAAGTTTTTGGGCAGTCGCCACATTTAAGTTTGTACACACCACTGTGTAAGTGTTTTTTATTTTGGCTCTTGTTGTTTTTGATATATTTGCCTAGGTTGTTATTTGTTCGGAAAGCTGGTGTTATTCCTTTCATTTTTTTGTGTTTGGCTATTTTTGTTGTAATTTTGCCTGTATATGTAATCGAACAGAAGGTACTGAGTTTTTTCTCTGGTGGTGGAAATACTAATTTCAGGGCTTTCTTGTGTAGTTTTTGATTTAACATTTTATTAATTGTTTGTTCATTGTATCCGTTGTTTACTGCTATTTGCTTAATTATATTTAATTCTGTCTCAAAGTTGTATTTTGACATCGGAATTTCTGTTAATCTATGTAACATACTATGATATGCTGCCAGTTTATGTTGTGTTGGATGGATGATGAATTGTGTATAGTCGTGTCAGTATGGGTAGGTTTGTGAAATATGGAGAAGTATGTTTGTTTTTAAATTAATAATTTTTAAATCTAAAAAATTTATAGATTGATTTTGTTGTTTCTATTGTAAATTCAATATGACTATGAAGTGTAATTAATATACGATAAAAATTAGTCGAGTTGCCTGTTAGTTCCTGTGAAACATACTTAGTACGTCGTCTACGTAGGTCGTTTAAATTTTTTATAGCTTTTCATATAGAGTGGTCTTCGTGTGAGAGGTTAGAAACATAAAACTGGAAAGAGTCGTTTTTTTTCTTCATGTAATGCTCTATTTAGTCTATGACTTATCCTGTTAAGGTACGTTTTATTTAGTGGATTTCTCGTTTGTTGCCATATGCGTCGAGCTCTTCTTTTTTCTGCTACCAGTTCTCTTATATGAAGGGGATATTATGGTTTTCTTGCACACTTCTTTGGCGCTGTGGTGTTGCTTCCCATCCTGTTGTTTGTAAAACTGTTGTTAAATAGTCTACTGCTTTCTCTACATCTTGGTTTTCTTTTATCCTAATATCTAGTCTAATTTTTGTATTTACAGAATTTTGGAAAACATCCAGTTTGTTTCTTTAGTTGTGAGTTTGGGTGGTGGTGTTCTCCATATTATGTGTGTACTTAAAGTTATTATTATTGTACTGTGATCTGATGTTAAATCGAAGTTTGACTCTATTGCACTATGGATGTCAGATATCCCTTTTGTTACAGCAAAATCTACCAAATCTGGAATTTTGTTGGCATCCGTAAGCCAGTATGTGGGTTCTCCCGTAGATAAGTATCTTAAGTTATTTTGTTGGATGATATTCATTAATGCTCGACCTTTAGGCGTGATTAATCTGAAACCCATGTGGTGTGTTTGGCATTCCAGTCTCCTGCTACTATGAATTTGGATCCAAGAGTTTGTATGAAATCATGATACTCTTCGCTTGAAATTGGATGTCTAGGTGGGCTGTAGACTGATGATACACTGAGGGAGGTGTTTGTTTCGATTTTAATGATTGCTGCTTGAATTTTTTCCATAATATAAGGTTGGACTACATAGTGTTTAATTTTTGATTTAATAATAACGGCAGAACCTGCATGTGCTCCTCCGTCTGGATGGTTTGCATAATACACAGTATAGTAAGGTATCTTAATAACCGTTCTTTGTGTGACATGGCTTTAAGATATTAATAGAATGTCTATAATATATATTTTAAAAACAGTGATATCTCTAATATATGGTTTGAAATGCCATTAGCATTCCACGACGCAATTCGTAGTGACTTGAAAGCTATTTTGTTATTTTGTTAATGACTGTAGTTAACATGGTTAAAATCATGCTATTTTGGCTTAAGAGTTGAGAGAACATATTTTTAAATTCGTTTAGGAAATTTGATAGTGTATCTGCTAATTCATGGTTATTTTTGTTATCTGCATGTATGTTTTCAATGGTAGCATCTCTATAACTGATTCTGTTAAAATTATGAGCATGATGTTGGGTAGGTATATTTACATTGGGATTGTTGACAGGATTTTGAGTGGTGATTTGTTTTGATTTGTCATGGTATCTGACATTTAGTCTTCTTCTTCACGTGCCATCTCCGCGACGGAGGTTGGCAATCATCATGGCTATTCTGATCTTAGATGCTGCTGCTCTGAATAGTTCAATTGATGTGCATCCGTACCATTCCCTCAAGTTACGCAACCATGAGATTCTTCTTCTTCCTACACTTCTCTTGCCCTGGATTTTCCCTTGTATAATCAATTGAAGTAGGTTGTATCTCTCATTACGCATAACATGCCCCAGGTATTGCAGCTTTCGTGTCTTGATGGTTTCCAATACTTCCATTCTTTTGTTGATTCTTCTCATGACTTCGTTGTTTGTCACATGCTCGGTCCATGATATCTTCATGATTCTTCTATATACCCACATTTCAAATGCTTCCAACTTTTTAGCAGTCGACGCGTTAAGTGTCCATGCTTCCATCCCATAAAGCAGAGTCGAGAAAATATAACACCTTGCCAGCCTAACTCTCAAGTCCAATTTTAGTTCTCTTGCACAAAGTACCTTTCTCATTTTATTGAAGTTTGTACGTGCTTTCTCTATTCGAACTTTGATTTCTTTGGAGTAATCGTTTGTGTGATTAATTATTGTGCCAAGATAGTGGTAGTTTTCAACTTGTTCTAAAGCAGTACCGTTAATTGTCAGGCTTTCACCATTATTTTGGGTTTTCGATATCCTCATAAATTTGGTTTTCTTGGTGTTTATTGATAATCCATATTCTTCTCCATACATTGACATTTAGTAGTTCACGATAAACAGAAAATCCTCTGTAATTAATAACTAATAATAACAATAAACAACAAACTTTGCAAATAGAAGGGGCACTTTTAAAAATACACAACCTATATAATAAATTATTAAAAATAATGAGTATCCATGAAAATAAAAACTAATATGCTTAAATTATAATTTGTTATGTCATAAAATGTCGTTAAATTATTTTAAATCTGTAATTACCCCATATCATTTTTTATATTTCACGAAATACGGTATTTACTTCTTAAAAATATCTTTTTATTACTTATGATAGAAATTTAAGGTTGATCTGCACCCCCCAAAAGACAAACTACAAATTCAAAAAATTTGAAAAAAATTGAGAAGGTATATGTGACAACTAGAAGTATTTTGACAAATTTTGAACAAACTTCATGTTTTCGTTTTCAAAAAAACTCAAAAAAACTACTTTTTTCCAAGTATAAAGCGGGAAAACCAGACATACAATTTTGTTTATTTTCTTACAACATAAAGATATAACCCTAAGAAATACTGATGAATTTTTTGAAAATTTTTGAATTTACAGTTATGTCACAATGGAAAAAAATATTATGTTTCGGCTTATAATAAAGCTACCGGTAAGAAACCGGAAAAAATTTTAATAACAACATATATAAAACTGTAAAAGTGGAAAATATTTGCAATAAAACGTTGAATATTTTTTCCTAAACATATGAAAAATCTCGTTAAACAATAATTATATCTTGAATTGCCGGCATCAAATTGTATATTAGAGAGGTGGCTCCATCTCAAACGTTGGTAGTATTTATCATCGATAGATTGCATTACTTTCGGCCTCGAAACGCTTCAAGCGAATCGTCATACTAGCAGGGTTGCCATATCAATTATTTTGTACAACACTTTGGCAAATTACAACAAGATTTAATAAGAATGTTATCGGTTTGAATAAATTTTATCTGGCATGCTGAAACAGAATAGTAGATACTATTCTGTATTCGGTATTTAGTTTTTAAAAACCTATTTAGACGTTTTAAGTTAATTATTTTAGTATTTAGAAACAATAGTATTGCTTGCATAACGTATTAGTGGTAATTTTTATATTAGTATAAGCATTAGTTTTTCTTAAGAAATTCACATTTGTCAACTTGTATTTTAAATCTTGTTTCTCTTAATTTCTCAAAAATCTTAAGATTTACCATACGTTCTTAAAGAGAGGTTGAAAATGTCCCTGTATACTAGATATATTTCGCCTTTAAGTCTTTTTAGTATGTTCTCCATTACCTACTCTCTGGAATGTTGAGGGTGCATTTTTGAGTCCTAATGGCATTCTTAGGTATTCATAGTGGCCATTTTCAACGTTAAATGCAGTTTTCTAGATATCTTCTTTCTTCATTTTAATTTGATGGAATCCGCTGGCTAAAACTGGGTGGAAAAATATTGGCAGCGTCCTAGTTTATCCAGAATGTTTGTTGTATTTGGAATTGGATATAGATCGTCGATGGTTTTCTCGTTCACCTTCCTCTAGTCGACAACTATTCGCCATTTAATCTTTCTTGGGGCATCTGGTTTCTTTGGAATGACCCACATTGGGGACGACCAGGGCAATTGACTCGGTTTGATGATTTCTTGATCGATCATCCTTATGGATGTGTGGATACCAATTTGACTTGGTGTAAACAGGAACTTTATCTCTTGTTCGTATATGGTGTTTTATTTGGTTAGTAAATGTTAACTGACTGTCTGAATGATGAAATATGCATGATGCAAACTTCCTGCACTGTCGTCTTCGGTGAAATTCTTCTTTTGTATTAAAATTATCGGTTCTTAGGAAAGGATCGACATCTCTTAGATTTATTGGTTGATTTTTGATGGGATCAGTTATTGCTACTTGAATATATTCATCGGTGTTATTGACTAGCTCGGTCCAGGCAAGTTGATTACATGCGACGGTGAGAGTTTCTCTAAGGATTGCACCTTCGACTTCTTGTCTTGGGATGACGATTTTACCTGATGTTTCTTTTACTGTAAATTTGACTTGTATAATTGTTTAGGGCTCTTGGTGGACTGTATAGAATTGGGCTTTATTTGTGCCATAGTAATTAATAGGAAGAATAGAATGCGCTGTAGTAAGAGTAGCTTGGGTAAAATCGAGATTTGCTTTTAGAAGCCTTAAGATTAAGATCATCAAATGTCTTGTGAACTTTGAAAATATAAAATTTTAAGTTAATATTTGAGTTCAATTCGGGAAAAATTGGAATTTCTACACAATAACCTTCTGAATGATTCTGAAAAAGTGATGTAGCAACTGGTTCATATTTAATATTATTTTTGTGGAATTTATTGGTAATGGTAATGTTATTACTACTTACTGAAGAAGTCAAATCACATATCGCCGTTTCAGTTTCATGCTGCAAATTTAATGGAACACAATTTTCAGGTCGAAATATAGATCTAGCAAGTTAAACAATTAACTTAGATCTTTGATTCATTGTTTTTTTTTTATAACGAAGAGAATTTAAACACGAACAGTTGTCACTAAAATAATTTTAAACTGAAAGGTTATGTTAAACTAATCAAACATTTTTGTGCAAAAGTTTCTGTAAAATACCAGCAGAACACGCAACATGTGGCGGATTATTACATTGAAACATATTATATTCTCCGTGCAATATCGATACATGATACAATGTACCATTAACTTAACATTCGACATTCGGCGTGATTTACGAATAAAAATCCAAATATCATGCGCTGTATCTAGAATATATATTTTCATATCTATTTTACAAAGACACTACTTGTTAAAAAAAATATAATACAGTTATTTTAGTGAATATATTTAGTTTTAAACACCATGATACCGTAATTAATCTTTGCAATACGGTCCTGGTAGGAAAGACTAATCTAGTTAGATAATATATTAGGTAGGCGGTACTGATACAGTAATTATCGTCCAAAATAGATAAAAGATTGCTGAGAGGATAACACTGTTTTCCTATTTTCCATGACGCAATTGGATAATAGCAGTATATTTGATTATTTGTTGTGACAGGGCGTGAGGCTCAGTAATTGTTTAGTCTCCCTATGATTTCAATGACAATACGGGATAAATAGGAAATATTGCTCCTTTTATTATGTGTACTAAATTTATAATATTCTCTACTTTTATTAAGCTTGAGAAGAGAGTCTATTTGTTTTATTTATACTTTTTTCACCCACAATTATTTTATTGCGCATGTTGTAAATGTTTTGTTAATAATTTTGTCTCATTATATATATAAAGGAACGTGGAAAATTCCGGGATCAAATGAAACTCAAATAGACCACATCTTAATACAAGAGAAATTCGCCAATTTAATAACAAATGTGAAAACGTGCAGAGGGACTTACGTAGACTCAGATCATTTTTTGGTTAGAATTAATATGAGAGAAGCAATAATTAAAAAGCATACATAACGGAAAAAGAAAGTGCAACGTAAATTTAATTTTGAAAACTGCGAAAATTTGAGGTAATGCAGGATTATCAAAAGGATATTCAAGAAACCTACGCCAAACAAGATAGTACTACTGTGAGTACCATACAACAAAAGTTCTTGGAAATGACAAACACTATAAACGAAGCAACGGGAAAGAACATACCAAGAACAAAAAGATTTAGAAAAAACAACTGGTTCGATGACGAATGTGCAACAGAGTTAAAAAAAAGATCAGATCTGAGATTAAAAACTTTACGATCGCAAAAACAAAACGACCTAGAAAGGTATGCCAAACAATGAAAAAAGTAAAAAAAAATCTAAGGGAGCGGAAACGAAAGTATGTGGATGATAAAGTAAAGCGTATTGAAGAAAATTACAATGAAATAAAAAAAAATACAAAGAGGTAAAATACATTAAATCTGAGTATTAGGGAAGAATGATGAATGTAAAAGATAAGCAAGGAAACCTGATAGTGGGTGAAGACCAAATATGTGAAAGGTGGAAAGAATATTTCGAAGAGATGCTAAATGACGGAGTGACTTCTGAAGAAAATTATAATGTTCCTAAACCTCAAATAGTAATAGAAGAAATACCAAAGCCTAAAAGAGAAGAAGAAATTGAAGAAATAATAAAAGATTTGAAAAATCAAAAAGCACCACAGATAGTGGCATTGTGTCAGAGAACTTAAAATATAGAGAAGAGGCTTTAATAAACCAACTTGGTGAGCTAATACTAGCAGTGTGATGCAGAATGCCCAAGAGTGGAATAAGTCGATTATAATTCCTATACACAAAAAGGGAGATAGAACTGAATGCGCAACCTATAGAGAAATATCCTTATTAGAGGTAATATATAAAGTTCTCGCAATACTAATTAAAAAACGATTAGAAATATATGTAGAGAAGAATCTAGGAGAATACCAGGGAGGATTTCGGATAGGAAGAGCAACAACCGATCAAATTTTTATGCTAAAACAAATCCTGATCAATTGCTATGAATACAACATTTCAGCACAAGTACTTTTGGTAAGATTGGTAAAAATGACAATTAGACAAACAATTTGTGCTGTGAAATGCAACGGTACAGTCTCAGAAGAATTCGAAGTGAAAAAAGGTGTTCGCCAAGGAAACCCGTTGTCTACATTGCTATTCAATATAGTTCTAGAAAAAATTGTAAGGGTTAGTGGGATAAATAAGTCAGGCACTATTTTATACAAGGAGCACCAATGCTTAGCATACGCTGATGATGTGGTTCTCGTTGACAGAAATGGAAAAGAACTGGCAAATATAGCAAAAAGACTGATTCAAGAAAGCTTTAAAATGGGACTCAAAGTTAATAAAACCGAAGTACATGAAAATCTCGAGCAAAAAAGGAATAAACGCCAAGGAATCCTTTAAATTGGAGATGGAGGATGGATCAGTTGTAGAATTCGAGAAGGTGAATGAATATATTATGTACTTAGGTACTCTTATTGATCAGACATGTAAGGACTGAAACCATCCTGAGACTGACCAAGAGCAAGAGGTGTGCTGGAGCCATGAGCAAAATAATTAAGTCCAAAGATAAATCCCGTAATACAAAAATAAGATTATACAAAACTATAATTAGACCCACAATGCTATACGCTGCTGAGACATGGACTATGAACAAAACCATACAGAACAGATTGGAAGCATGGGAAAGAAAGATACTTCGCAGAATAATTGGTGGAAAAGTAGTAGAGGGGAATGGAGAAGACGAACTAATGCAAAAGTGTACCATTTGTATGCTAACCCTACAATAACAAAAGTGGTGAAAAAACGTAGACTACAAAATGGAGAGATGTAGTGATGGAAGATGTCAGAGAGATTGGAATCGATAGAAGTTATCTATCCAGCAATGGGCCTAAAAGGCCTGTTAACGCTGTACATACATACAGAATGGAATCCAGGAGGAAGAAAGAGAAGGGAAAGACCAAGATCAAAGTGGCTGCAAGAAGTTGAAGAAGACCTCCAAAGAGCAGGAGTCAGAGAATGGAGAGGAAAAACTAGAGACAGAAAAAATGGAGAGATATCATCAAGAAGATAACATAAACAAAAGGGACTGTTCCACCCAAGAAATACATAAGATCTAGAAAGCATTCGCGGTTTATATATATATATATATATATATATATATATATATATATATATATATTATATATATATATATATATATAGTAAATATACAGTGTGGAAACCACTTATAGAATAAAATTCTTTGTGTCCTTATTTTAGCAAATAATAAAAAACCTTGAGATATCTTAACTTTTAAATTTAAATGTACGCTTTTTAGACATAAATTTGAATGTACAGGGTGATCAACGCAAGTCTGGCATAGTCCATAATCTGTATTTTAAATGAAACACCCTGTATATTTTTATGTTTTTAAAAGCTCCTTAACAACCTGATCTCAACGAACTATATCATGTAGGGTCTATTATGAATAATACAAGGTGAAATTTTGAAATTAAGTATAATTTTCTTCAAGACAATTAATTCATAGAATACCCGAGGTAATTGATTGGATTACATTAAAATAAATGCTCAAACATGTTCTCCACCTTGTTGTTGGCAATACACAGTCTCCTATAAAACTCGTCCCGAACTTTGTTTAAAGTTTGAGGTGAAATATTCCGTATTTCTGTAGTTATCCCTTCTTTGAGGTTTTCAATGATAGTTGAAAACCTCAAAGATGGTTGAGGGATTGGTTTGAGGTTTGAGAAAAGATTTAGATCGCAAGCCTACCTTGACAGGGTCGTGAAGTGGTGCAACAAATGGAGGGTTACTATAAACCCATCCAAAACCCAAGCCATACTTTTTAAATCTCCTTACGGTCGTGACCTCCGGGGCCGGATGACACTTTTGGGAGAAGACCTCGTTCTCAGGAACTCAGTCCTCTACCTGGGAGTTCGTTTTACGAGAACTCTCGATTGGAAGACTGACGTCCAAGAATCCCTTGACAGGATGAGACAGAGGTTCAATCTCCTGAAAGTGCTATCCGGAAAACTAGGAGGAACGTCATCTAAAACATTGTTGCACACCTACAAGACCTTTGTCAGGCCGATACTCGAGTACAAGGCATGCGTTTACCTTTCTCTCAAGAGTCACCAACTCAACGCCATAACAGCTACTGAACGTAGAATTCTGCGTTACTGTATGAGAAAAGGAATGGACGTATCCATCAGCCCACATTTACATACTGGCCAACATCACGCCAATTAAGGACAGAATCCTAACCTGTTGGTAACTGTTCAGTGGAAAACCGGGAATCTTGAGTTCTTCCAGTTACTTGTTTTTAAATATTATTTGGACTTCCCGTGGTTTTAGTAAAGAACAAAAGACCGTACATGAAACTATTTAATTACTTCTATGTGACTGTTATATAAACTGTTTTTATAATATAAAAGAAAGAAAACTTAATTGTTTGTAATAACACAACTAAAATATTACAAATATAAATTAACACTACGTTGTTACATCTATGACTGGAAACCGAATAATGAATGAGGGTTGTTACAGGTAGGCTCCCAAAAGGTGAGTACTTCTAAAAATAAATCATAACGGTAATTTCTAATCTCCCTTAGCAAGGTCGTTGCCAAACTAAGCTATGCCGTTTCAAAGACGACAGGACCGTCGTCAGATCTTTTAAAGTTTTAACATAAGCCGCCCCCTTTGAACGCCATAAGGGGGTTCAAAAATTCAAATGTACAAAGTCAGCAAGTCAATATTAAGCCGAAATTATAAAGTTTATCTAAACACAAAAAAAACTAAAGTTGATCTTCGTTCGGTAGCACACATAACTTCACAACCGGACGTTTGTATACGCCAGAGTTTGTTTTTAGCGTTACACTACGCACAATTCCATCACTGCCGGAATGGATGTCAGTCACTCTACCTAAGGCCCATCTAAGAGGTTCCAGTCCATCTTCTTTAACAAGTACTAGGGAACCGAT